ATTTATGTTTTTGAGGTATTGTCATTGACAATTACAAAGTCCAAGTTAAGGGTCCAATAAATTAATCCAATGCGGATATGGCTGTTATCGAACCGAATTGATCTGAGCTTAATGTTTTCGAGCTCGAGTTCGACTAGTTTTCGATCATTTTCGTGTTTGTTTGGTTAGTATACGAACAAAAAAAAAATCGTTATTGTTCGTTCGTTTATTGGTTCGACAAGTTCGTGTTCGTTTGTTTATATAGTCAAATTTGTTCGTGGACTGTTTGAATTGTTCGACAAGTTCGTGTTCGTGTTTGTTGATTTTTTTTTATACCATACAAGTTATTTTTGTTTAATATATAATATATATCCATATTTATATATTGTATTTATATAATTATATACTAATCTATATGTATATATTATGTATATAATATATAAAATTATAAAAAAAATACCTTTTTGATCGCGAACGCTCGTTTAGTTCGCGAACTTGTTCGTGTTCTTTCGATAACTAAACGAGCGTAATTCCATGTTCGAGTTCAATTCGATTACTAAAACGAACGAGCTTTAATTGTTCGCGGACAGTTTGGTTCGATAACAACCCTAAATGCGGACGCATTTCATGTTGAAAAATTTGGACAATCAACATGTTGAAATTAATGAAGAAAATAATTGTGTCAATTTGAAATTTAGATTGGAATTTCATACAAGGTGCAAGCGCCAAAAGTTGATTAAAAAAAATATATATATATATTTTTAAGCAAGTTGGACATTAGGTTGGATTTGAATATGACATAATTCAAATTTAACCGAACTAATTTTTTTGTTCACATTGCAAATTCAAAACGAATTAATCCAAAGAGTACTAGTCTTTAGAAATTAATTTAAATTCCTCATAAACAACAATATTACTAAAATAATTAAAGTACATAAATATTTTTTAGTGCTGAATTAGATCATTCAAGTAGCGAGCAAGAAGCTCTGTGTTTTTGGGAACAAAGATGATTTCCAATGTGGTGATGTTCACCGTCTCGACCACGCTATCTTACTTCTATGTTGTGTTTCTTACACATACCAAAGTGTAGACCACTTACTTAGCACTAAATGTGACATATATAGTGCACTATAATTCACACCCAACTTACATATCTTGGAGACAAAATTAGTCTACCATTCATTAAATACTCCTTTTGTTCTTTTGAAATTGTTATAGATTAGGAAACAATAATCACTCAATATAACCATTTGGTTAATGACAAAAGACTTATATACTACTATCCTTAATTTCCCATAATTTAGAATCGTTGAGAGATGGACACGTGTCTGCGCCTAACTTGTGGGGACACGATCGAGACGAGTCCGCCGAGGGGCGGCCTCATCTTCGACCGATAGATCATCTCATCGTACGGCCTTCGGTAGAAGTTGACGAACGGGACAAACGACTCTCGAGATTTGTCGACCCGACTTTGTTGGTGGTGGTAGTGATGATGATCTCTCTTGAAGAACAACGCCGGAGATTGAAGAAACGATGCCTTTGGAGTCCTCGGGTACTGTCGGATCATTGACGGGTCGAGCTTTTGGGTCCTTTGTGGCATCGGTGTCGACGGGAAGAAGTTCTTCCTGATGGCCGGGTCGATCGATCTGCTCGCGCCACGTGGCGACGCGAACGAGTGGGACCGCGCGTTGTGGGGCGAGATGGCGGCAGATGACGAGGGGTTGGTGGGGCCCACCTTGGAAGTAGCTGCTGACGACGTGGAGAGGTACCAAGGCTTGAGGGAGTCGACGTGGTGGGTCGACACCGTGAACGAGAATCTCGAAGACGAGCACTCGCCGCCTCCTACTTTGGCCGACGAGGCAGAGGAGTCGAAGCGCATGGAGACGGCTCGTGGGTACAACGCGAAATCGTTGTTGTTGTACTCGAGCGAGTCTTCGTAGTCGAGAGACGAGACCACCGAGGTCAGAGGCGAAAGCTCGACAAACGGCTTCACTCCCTGAAAATCACAATGAATCGCCAAGAACCACGATTAATATTGAGTCACTCTCTAATGGGCAGAATGCAATTACTAATCATATGAAAATGACTACAGTCCCGTCAGAAAATCATTCAATAAGTGTGTTCTAACTATAGATTATCTATCCTATACAAAATCATTTCGCGACGGGACTCACGTGAATCCCTAATTATAGGAGGGAGAATGAAAATTGTTTACCTTCCAAAGATAAGTAAATAGAGAAGGCGGGTCAATGACAAAGACCCTATGAAGGCGAGCCGGATAGTAATCAGCTATGATCTTGAGTGTGGTCAGCAGCATGTTCATAAAAGCTGAAGCTGATCTGAAAAAGCCTGCACAATTTCACCACACATTAATTTAGTCAACAAGAATTTAACCCAACAACGAGAATATTTATTTTTATATATAATATATAAATTTATATTTTCTCAAATTATGAAAAAGTAAAAGGAAATAAAGTCGAGAAAATCAAAAAAATTCAAATTACTGTTTTGGCCAGTCTGACAAAAGGGAAATAAGGAGAACTACGGGGGCACTTTTTGCAAATAACAATATCGTTCAGTTAGAGTGAGTTTCCTAATATACCCCTATGGACTCGTACGTCTGACCGCGACACCTCAGGGGCAGTACCGGCAATTACTGGAAAAGCTTCGGACAGCCCCATCTGTCTGCTTCCCGACAAACTTGGTGCTGATTGTGCTATCTTTCTTGATTAAAATTAATTAATTAATTAATTGCTCATTAAGTGCGCAATTAGGCGTGGCTTTGGAAGTTAAAACAAGTGCTATTATTTGTTTGTAATTTAGAGTAATTAATAAAGGTAATATTATAATTAACTGAAACAAAAAATAAAAAAATAAAAACATAAAGGGTAAGATAACTAATACTCACTGGCGTCAAATAGGAGGACAAATTGGTCAACATTTTTGGCCATGGTTTGAACAGCCACTTCGATAGTGAACACAAGCAACCTAGTAAACCTACAAAATTGTACCAAGCAAAAGGAAAAATGACGATTAGGTCCACGACCAGTTACCACAAAAACAGATAAAAACTTATGTGCTTACAGTTTTTGAGAATGGCATTTATGGTAATCTTGCTTCATTCGGAATATCTGCAATATTTGAGCAGCCAATTTTAGAGCACACCACAAGAAATGAATTAATTATTTATTTATAGTTTACTTTAAAAATTTAATATTTATTTATTCAAAATTTTAATAAAAAAAAAAGAGGCAAAATTCTTAGTCATGTCGGTTTTGATTCAGTGGCGTTTTTAGTCTTAATAATTGAACATTTTTGCTATACGCAATTTCAGTCATTTGGGATTGAAAACGCAACAAAATTTAAAATTACAGGACTTAAATTGCTAACGAAAAAACTTTTCTTTATTAGAAATTTAAGTCCTGTGTGGCAAGTTCAATCCTAAATTGACTGAAATTGCAACAAAATACTAAATTATAATATCAAAAGACGAAAAAGTTAAAATTTTCGGACAAAAAATGATACATCGTTAGACAGAATGACTAAAAATGCAATTTTGGCACAAAAAAGGACAGGTAAAGTGAAATAAATTTACCATGACAGGCCTTAATTCATCATCGTGACCAGCAACATAAGCAAGTCCTTCGGCGAGCTCGGCAGAGAATTCATCGGCTATCAGAGTATCTTCAGTTTCAAATTATATTCAACATCAAAATCAGTGAAAATGTAACATATATATAAAAAATATAACATAATCATTTTTTTATTTTTTTTTAAAGGCTAAGACCTTAAAAAAAATAATAATAATAATTAACTAACAAAAGTAAAAAATTGGAAATTTTGACCCGTTGAAAATTAAACACTATTATTACCACTACTTTTGTAAGTTTAAACAAATCCTCCAAATTAACGTTAATTTTTTTTTTTAGCTTCATCCACATGTGCCTGCCAAAATTACTTCAAATCAACGCTTTTTTTTTTAACTATTTCAAATATTTAAAAAAAAAAAAAACAACAAGGGTTGGCTCAAGTAGTAAACAACTTGATGTCCTTTAAGCAAGGTCTCGGGTTCGAGTCCTTGTAGATGCAGAAAATCCTTGTTGGGAGACTTACCCACCACTGGTGTGCGACCTGGGTCGACTAACAGATTATTCGGACCATAGCTCCGGATACCGTGGTGAGTACCAAAAAAAAGAAAAAAAGAAATATTACCAGTGCCAATTGAGTCTCTCCATGAAAGACAATTCCGGAGCTGCTTGGCTGCTTTCTTCACACTGTCCCCTTTAGCCTTCAGAAACCTCTCCACGCAAGCGTTGTTGCAAAACTTCTCCTGCCCGCCCGCCCGCCATTATCATCATCAGTACTCACCTTAAATTGATCAAACATACACACATACACGTGTTGGTGTGTGTGTGTGCGTGTGTGAGAGAGAGAGAGAGAAAGAACCTGTTTGATTGTGAGTGGAGAGTACTGGTTTCTGATGATTTCGAGTACGGATTGAACCCTTCTCTGTTTCTCTCTCTGCCCTTCTTCTTTCTTTCCCATATTAATTATGAACCACGCAAAAAACACACACAAAACTCTGTGTGTGTGTGTGTGTGTGTTTCGAAAACTTGAAGGAACAAAAAAAAAAAGAAAAAAAAAAGATGCTACTCTTCTTTTTTCACGCAACTCAGTTCAGTTCAGTTCAAACTCCAGAACCCGACTTTCTCGGGACACCTACTACTGTGTGTATGTTGTGTGTGAGAGAGAAATAGGTTTGTTTGTGTGTGACTCTGTGTGTGTGTGTGTGTGTGTGTTTGCTGAGAATTGAAATGAAAAGAGGGCGTATATATAGCGGTGACGGAAGCCGTTAAGTGGAGTGTACAGTGCATTAGACGGCACAAAAGCGAAGGCTAACGGAAACCGTCGCCCCACTTGGCTTTACTAATTGCCCTTTTTTCTTTTTACTTTGTTTTTTCTCATCGACTTATATATCAATGGTGTGGCACTTGTGAGTTAATTATGATATTATTAAGCATTTAAATTTGTGTTGGGTTTTAGACAACACTTAACAGGTCGATGTGTATTTACGATGGAGTTTAATTTCTTTAAAAAAAAATTATTATAGCTCTTAATCTTTTGTATTATCCAAACTGAAAAAGGGTTGACCAATATAATTATGTCTAACTCTAAGTGATGTAATGGTCAACAATTTTTGTATTGATCAATTTCAAAATCTATGTTTTGCATTGATTTAGAGTGTGAATTCAGCTCGCGTGGCTTAATATTTATT